CCCGGGAGCCTCTCTCGGGAAGCTGCAGAGGCTCCTGCTCATGGCTCCGTGGGCCAGAGGGTCGCAGAGATCTGTCTCGGAAACCTGGGGGGCCCGGCGCGTTGGTTTGCATGCGATACGCCCGTGCGACCAAGCTGAACCAGCACGCCGAGCCTCGGGCTCCCTTCTTGCCCAGCTTCCCCCAGGCCAGGCAGTCCCGTGCAGGAGATAATTTATTTTTTCACCTTTATTTCACAGCCCGGAGGCGGAGGAGGGAGAGGCGGCGCTGCCGAAGCCATCAGTGGGTAAGAGATGGAGACGTCGGGGCCGGAGGGGCTGCCCTGTGGCACTGGGGTGTTCGATGGGGAGTGGGCAGAGAGGAACCGGCCCGGACGCTGCCTGGGACCCTGCGTCCTCCCCGCTTCCCCGAGGGGACCTGCCGGCACCCTGCGGCCCCCCAGCCCATGCCCAGGGCTTTCTGTGTGACCTCGAGGTGCTTGGGGGACGTGGGTGCTGTTCCCGCACCACCCCTTGCTCTCTCGGGGTGATAACGGGGTTTCAGTCGCTCTGGGTGGTGGGCACAGGGACATGCCGTCCTTCTCCCCCTGCCCCTTTCGGGTACGGGTGGTTGGGAGGGATCCCAACATCCCCCGCAGCGATGGATGCTGTCTCCCCTCCCCGTGCCACGGGAACCCCCCGGGAAGCGTTTGCCACGTGCAGGTTTGGGACCCCGCATGGGGACACCGTGCGGCATCCCCACGAATGCTCGTCACCCCCAGGCCACCCGTCCTGAGCCTGGGGAGCATCGCTTCACCCGTCACAGGGCAGCCCCATCCCTGTCCCATCGCTTCCCCGGCGAGGAGGGAGATGCGGCCAGGTGGGGTGTGAGGCAGTGCCGGGGCTCGTCCCCAGGGAAGTGGAGCCGAAAACATCCCTCGGAGCCGGAGCCCCGACCCGCGCCATGCTGAGCCTCAAGTTACCCCGGCTGCTCAGCATCAACCAAGTGCCTAAGGTCAGCGAGGAGCTTCTCTTCCCTAAGCCCGAGGCTGGGTGGGATTTTGGGGGGTGACGGGCGGGAGCAGCGTGCTGGGGTGGCCATTTTCCCCTGGGGCAGTGCTCAGCCCCTCCCCGGGACCACCTCCCACGGGGGGACACGGCTCTGTCCTTGCAGAAGGGTCCTGGGTCCTGAAACATGGGCACCCTCCTTTTGGCAACCTTCCTTCCTTCTCCGATTTGTCCTTCCTTCTCCTCCGACTGCCCCCGGTGCCAGTCCTTGCCTTGCAGGGGTACCAGGAGCAGGGGATCCTCTTCGGGTATCGCCCTCCGAGAAGCTCGGCCGCAGACTGCCTCCTCAGCGTCTTCCAAATGACGAACGAGACCCTCAATATCTGGACGCATTTTGTGCCTACCTGGTAGGTACCATGCCCTGGCTCTTCAGCGTCCGTGGGAGGAGGTGGTGGGTCTTGGCGGTGGGAGCAAGGCTGGGGGAGCAGGGACGGGGGGCACCCAAGGGTGCCGTGCTCACCTTCCTCCGCCCCACAGGTACTTCGTGTGGACCCTGGTGGGGCGGCTGCGGGGGCCGGGGAACCGGGAGGACCCCCACGCCTGGCCCCTCCTCGCCTACCTGCTGACCTGCTGCATCTACCCCCTCGCCTCCAGCTGCGCCCACACCTTCAGCACCATGTCCACCCGCGCCCGGCACATCTGCTACTTCTTCGATTATGCGGCGCTCAGCATGTACAGCTTGGGTAAGGACGGGCAAGTCTGCAGCGGTTTCGGTGGGGTGCCAGTCGCCAGCGCTCCCCCGGGGCAGCAGGAGCTGAAGCATGGGGAGGTGTCAGGGACAGGGCTGCACCCCG